GGAGCGGTACTCGTGGTCCAGCCGCCTCGCCATGGCCGACCTCATCCCGCTGGAGAGCCGCGGCGGCGGCGGCGAGCAGCCCGAGCGCATCGTGGTGGGCCACAACGTCGCCTTCGACCGGGCCTTCGTGCGGGAGCAGTACCTCATCCAGGTAACGCGCCTGCTCCAGCCCCCGCTGCGAGCGGGGGCTACTCAGCTCAGGAGCCGGTAGCCACACACAGCACATTCCGCAGGGCTCCCGCATGCGCTTCCTGGACACCATGAGCATGCACATGGCCATCTCGGGGTTGACGGGCTTCCAGCGCAGCCTCTGGATGGCAGCGCGGCATGGCAAGAAGAAGGGGGTGCAGCAGGTTAAGCAGCACATGAGGAAGACGCGCAGCCACGGCGAGGGGCCCGCGGTGAGTTGGGGCACCGAGAATCTCGCTCGCGGTGGTGGTGCGTTGCTCTCACTGCCTGCACCTTGCAGATCGCCTCGTGGAACTGGGTGGATGTCAGCAGCATCAACAACCTGGTCGACGTGCACGCGCTCTACGTGGGCGGCGAGCCTCTGGAGAAGGAGGCACGCGAGCTCTTTGTGAAAGGCACCATGGCCGACATCAGGAACAACTTCCAGGTACAGGCAGCAATGCTGGAGGAGCAGCCACAGGGATATCCCCTGCCATAGGGGAACCGGGAATATTCCCTGCATTTGGGAGATGGCTGCTCTCTTTTAGGGTTTTGGTCTGGAGCTGGGTGGGAACCTGGTGGTGTTCTGCAGCCCTGATGCTGCCAGTTTGCTCCTTGGCGTGTTCTCACCTTGCTGCCTGCCTGTGTCCCCAGGATCTGATGACCTACTGTGCCCGGGATGTCCAAGCCACCCACGAGGTGTTTCAGGAGCAGCTGCCGCTCTTCATGGAGAGGTGAGAGCAGCTGAGATGTGACCAAAGAGCTGTGGTCCTGTCCCTGGGCACAGGATGTGGGTGCTGCTGTTTGTGGCTGCTGGGGGAGGTTGGGGCAGAGAGCTGCTGCGAAGCGCTGAATCCATCTCTGGAGAGACCTCAAACCACCCCGCGGGCAGGGAGGAGCAAACAGCAAAACCACCTGGTTGGAGTGGGTGGACAATTCGATGGGGTATCCACAGCAAACTCTCTCCAAGATGGATGTATTGAATTCCTTCCAGGTGCCCCCACCCCGTGACGTTTGCAGGGATGCTGGAGATGGGGGTGTCCTACCTGCCAGTCAATGGGAACTGGAAGAGGTACCTGGACGATGCTCAGGGTACCTACGAGGAGCTGCAGAAGGAGATGAAGAAATCCCTGATGAACCTGGCCAATGATGCCTGCCAGCTGCTGCAGGAGGACAGGTCCCCACGGGGCTGGGGGCTTGGGGCCGGGCAGACCTGTCCGCAGTGGGAGAAGAATGCAGCTTCTTGGGAGAGGGCTCTGGAGCTGTGGCCAGGTGCCCTCAGGACATCCCGGCTGGCTGCAAGCACCTGGATGCGGGAGTCGGGATGAAGCCGGCACGTGACAGCGGTATGTTGGCAGGTACAAGGATGACCCCTGGCTCTGGGACCTGGAGTGGGACACACAGGAGTTCAAGCAGAAGAAGAAACCCGTGAAGAAGAAGGAGCGGGAGGTGAACGCGGGCGCTGCCGAGGCGGCGGTGGGCGCCTCCGGAGCGGCGCAGGAGTGCCAGGAGGGTGAGTGTGGTGCACGTGCCCGGGGACGCCGCTTCCCGGGGGCCTCGTGGACACGAAGCGTGGAGCACTTGCTGTCCTGCTGCGCTCCTTGTCCCGCAGACCCTGGCCCTCCCAGCGAGGAAGAGGAGCTGCAAGTCCCCGGGAGCCGGGCCTGCCTGGAGCGCCTGAAGGAGACGGTGACGCTGCAGCCCAAGAGGCTGCAGCACCTGCCAGGCCACCCCGGGTGAGCGGGGCCGGCGCCGCGGGGCTCCCGGCATTTGTTGGTGCTTGCGGCTCAAATCCTCTCCCTGCCTCTGACCCGCTGTCCGAGGGAGCCAAGGTCCCTCCTCTTGAGCTCCCTTCCCTGGGGGAAGTGGCAAAACTGCCACATTTCAGGCATTTCCCACTGGAAGTGTCTGAATGTGGGGACACAGGACACCTTTCCACGTCTCCTGGGAGCAGGGAAGGGTGCTCCCTATTGCCTAGATGTCTCCCATGGGAAACGTTGGGAGAGGCCGGGCGATGCCAGGGCTGGCTCTGTGCTCCCTAACTCTGGCCTCCCCGTCCCATGCGCAGCTGGTACCGTAAGCTGTGCCTGCGGCTGGACGACGCGGACTGGGTGCCGGGGCCCAGCCTCATCAGCCTGCAGATGCGGGTGACGCCGAAGCTGATGCGCCTGGCGTGGGACGGCTTCCCGCTCCACTACTCCGAGAAGCACGGCTGGGGCTACCTGGTGCCCGGCCGGCAGGACAACCTGCTGCAGGAGCCCTCCGAGGCCCAGGGCCCGCTCTGCCCGCACAGGGAGGGCACCCGGCTACGCTCGGGATGGGGCTGGGAAGGATGGAGCAGATGGGTTGGTATTGGGACCCAGCAGAGCTCTGCGAGGACCCTTGTCCTGGTGCTGAGGTGACTTGGGGTGTTGCTGTCCCCCCGGCAGGGTGATCGAGCACCTGTACAGACAGCACTGCCTAGAGAAGGGGCAGGAGCAGCCGCTGGGGCCCGAGGCCACCGTGGATGAGGAGCTCCTGGTGATGGATGGCAGTGCTGTGTGGAAGAAGGTGACGGGGCAGGGATTGCTGCAGTTGTCCCTTTGAAGTGGGGTCCCTGTCCCTTGGGGATGGAGGGGTTAGCGTGAATGTGGCGCCTCCCAAAAACAACCCCGTGCATGGGGCAGCCGTGTCCCCACTGTCCCTGGGCCCTCTCCTTGTGTCCCCTGTGGTCGCGGGAAGGGCAGTGGCTGTTGCCTGACCCCTCTCTGCTCCCAGGTGGAGGAGCTGAGCCGCCTGGAGGTGGACGTGGAGGAGAAGGCGGACAGAGCTGACCAAAACGTGCTGCTGGTAAGTAGAGTTTGCCGTGGGGATGGGGCCCTGTCTCCCACTTGTCCCCTGCATGGGGGTCCTGCTGCCCAGGCTGGATGGGCACTGCCGTGGTGGCCCTGGCCCTGTCACCCTGTGTTGTGGTTGCAGGAGAAGGAGCAGGAGCAGACGAGCAACCAGCCTTCGTTCCACCACGGCAACGGCCCCTACAACGATGTCAACATCCCCGGCTGCTGGTTCTTCAAGCTACCACACAAGGTGAACGGGGAGCTCCTGGGCTCTGCGCTGAGCCCTCCCATGGCACAAGGGATTTCAGGGTGTCCCCTTGGCCTGCGGAGCTGCCCCGTCACACCTGGTCCCAGCACCCCATCTTCCCTCTGTCACTGTGTCTCTGCTCTCCTGCACCCTTGTGCTGGATCAATCTGTGATATCTGGCACTCTAGTTCCTTGAAGTGAGCTCCATGGTAAAAAGGCATCCCTGGAGCTGGGGCAGGAAGACCCGCAGGGCTTTATTTACATCAAGGGCTGGTTCACTGAGCTGTGACTCCCTTGCTGTTAAAGGATGGGAATGACAACAACGTTGGGAGCCCTTTTGCAAAGGACTTCTTGCCCCGGATGGAGGACGGCACCCTCCGGGCTGCGATCGGACGCACCCATGGAACGAGAGCCCTTGAGATCAACAAAATGATCTCGTTTTGGAGGAATGCTCACAAGAGAATCAGGTGAGCAGCTGTGACCCCTTTGCCATCTTTGGATGAATTGCATTGGATGAATTGAGGTTCTAGCTGAAGGAGTTTTCTTTAGGTTTCTGAAGGTTTTCTCGAGGGTGGGTTTCAAAATTAGCAGCGCCTTTGGCAAACACTTGTCCTCAGCCTTTGGGGAGGTCACACGAACTCCCTAGGTGTCCCTGGTTAGCAGAGTGGGTAAAAGGCTGCACTGGTGCCGGTGCGCTCGCACGCAGGAGCTCACATTGCGTGTGTTCCTGCAGTTCCCAGATGGTCGTGTGGCTGAAGAAAGGGGAGCTGCCTCGCGTGGTAACCAGGTATGGAGAGAAACGTCCCGAGCTGTTCCCGCGAACCCCGCGTGCCCGCTGGAAGCTCACCCTCCTTCCCGCCGCAGGCACCCGGACTATAACGAGGAGGAGGATTACGGGGCCATCCTGCCGCAGGTGGTGACCGCGGGCACCATCACCCGCCGGGCCGTGGAGCCCACCTGGCTGACAGCCAGCAACGCCCGGGTACGGCGCGTCCGCGTCCCCGCGGAGCCGCTGCAGGGCACAGGGAGTCTCCGTGTGTCGGGCTGGTGGGTGGCAGCTGGGAACTGGAGCTGGGGGAGGCGCTTGGGCTGCATCCTGTGGCTGGGGATGGCAGGGCTGGTTGTGGGGCCCTTCCCTTATGGATTTGCTTTGACCTGGGAGTGAGGAGGGAGTCAGCAGAGGCACCCTAAGCTTCACATGGAAAAACAAACTCTGCAAAGGAAAAAGAAAAATTGAAGAATCAGTTTTTCTTTCTCCCTAGTTTCTTTTCTCATGCTTTACTTTGTAGCTGCAACTTCCAAGCTGGAAGAGCCCAGAGGGGAATAACGAAGTGATGCCCCACGTGTGCTTTAAAACATTTTGACTTCTTGCCCCTGAGAGCAAGACTAGGCTCTCAATCACCCTGGGATGCAGCATCTGCAGGAGAAAAGCTGTCCCTGTGGGAGCAGGGATCAGGGGGATGTGCTGAGCACGGCGCTGTCGTGTCCTGCAGGCCGATCGCGTGGGCAGCGAGCTGAAAGCCATGGTGCAGGTCCCACCGGGCTACTCGCTGGTCGGCGCGGACGTGGATTCGCAGGAGCTGTGGATCGCCGCGGTGCTCGGCGAGGCGCACTTCGCGGGCATGCACGGTGAGCGGGAGGCGCGCCGGGGCCGGGCCCGCGCCGCGGCCACGTGCCTGAGCGCGACCTGCCGCTTCTCGCCGCCCGGCTTGTGCTGCAGGCTGCACGGCTTTCGGCTGGATGACGCTGCAGGGGAAAAAGAGCAACGCCACAGACCTGCACAGCAAGACGGCCGCCACGGTGGGCATCAGCCGGGAGCACGCCAAGATCTTCAACTACGGGCGCATCTACGGGGCCGGGCAGCCCTTTGCCGAGCGCCTGCTGATGCAGTTCAACCATCGGCTCACGCAGCAGCAGGCCCGCGAGAAGGCTCAGCAGATGTACGCGGTCACCAAGGGCATCCGGAGGTGAGCGCTGCGCAGGGAGCTGGGGGATGAGCAGGGAGGGGGGCAGCGTTGGTGTCCCACAGAGAGGTGGGTCCTGGTCTGTTGGGTCCTGGTCACTCCTCCAGCTTCTTGCTCCCAGGTTTCATCTCTCCGAGGATGGGGAGTGGCTGGGGGGGAAGCTGAACGTGTCTGTGGACAGGGCAGAGGATGGTTCGGTGTCGGCCCAGGATGTCCAGCGGATCCAGAGAGAGGCCACAAAAAGGTGGGATGCTCCAGCATGGGCAGCACTTGTGGTGTAAGGGGTTTGACCTGGGGGGATCCTTGTCTGTCCTTGCAAGCTCGAAGCCTCAGAAGGCTGTGGGACTAGTGTGATAGCCTCAAATGGGGAGAGAGCACCTGAGCCTTGCAGAAACTGGGCCTGCAGCCTCGTCCCACTCTTCCAGCAAAGAACACCTATCCTCTGTCCTGCCAGGTCTCGAACAAAGAAGAAGTGGGACGTGGTGCAGCACCGAGTGTGGGCTGGAGGGACCGAGTCTGAAATGTTCAACAAGCTGGAGAGCATCGCCCTGTCCCCGTCTCCGCAGACCCCAGTACTGGGCTGTCACATCAGCAGGGCGTTGGAGCCTGCAGTGGCCAAGGGAGAGGTAGGGACTCAGGCCTGTGCCTCTCTTTGCTTTGTCTGCTGCTGTCTTCTCTGCCACAGCAACCTTAAAGTCAACTATTTGGGTTTGGAAATGTGTAAGAAGGCCAATTGTGCTGGATCTTTGCTCCAGGGCCGGGAGCTGCAGCACACATAGAGGGGTGGCTGGGGGACTTTGGGCTGCCACAAGCCAGGAGGAGTTTGGAGTTTCAGCAGCACTTTTGTTCTTCGGTGCTGCTTTTAGCTCCCTTTGAGGAGTCTTGCAGCTCTCCCATGTTCCTCGTGTGTGTGTGATAGTACACAGATGAAAAACAAGTTTTAATATTTGGGAGCATCAAGGAAACAGCCTTCGTTTAACATACTTCTCCCAGGAGCTGTCCGGCTGCAGGGTTGTGCTTAGGACCCTGATGATCTCCTAGCATTTGTCTGTATTTTCTTTCCCCAGTTTCTCACCAGCAGAGTAAACTGGGTGGTGCAAAGCTCAGCCGTTGACTACCTGCACCTCATGCTGGTGTCCATGAAGTGGCTCTTTGAGGAGTTCGACATAAACGGGCGCTTTTGCATCAGCATCCACGACGAGGTGCGCTACCTGGTCCAGACGCAGGATCGCTACCGCGCGGCCCTGGCCCTGCAGATCACCAACCTCCTCACGCGGTGAGACCTCTGCGGCTCAGGACACGAAGCTGGGGGGGACAGCGCGAGCCCCAGGGATTAGTGTAGGGGCAATGGGTTAGTTTTGCCTTCAGTGAGTCAGGGACGAGCAATTTATTTCTGCTCAAGGCAAGTTGGCAGTTCTCGTAGTTGCTTTTCCCCATGACTCAGGTAGCTATAAATGGAGCTCAGCTTCAATTTAAAGAGATAATCTCTTGGCAGGAGTGTGATATCGTCAGCTCTTGGCTGCACGGGGATGTGAACACATCTCCCACTTCATTCAGATCTGTGGCCGTTTGGCAGCAGCGCTTGGGTCTGAATGAGCAGCTGAGAGTCTGAACTTGGCTCAGGACAGCAGAGCAGCAGGGACACAGCTTGTTTTAACTGCTGCAGGCACCAGCCTCGCTGCCCGCTCTGCAACGTGGGCAGTTCCTGCTGCTTTCCTGCCCTGGGTGTACAAGGTTAAACTCAGCCTGAAAAATCTCTTGGCCTCGAAGTCCCAGCGCTCCTCATTCAGGCTCCAGCACTGTTTTGTGAAATCCGCTTCCCAGAGCTTTGGTTATACAGGAGTTGGTCAAAGCAGAGCTATTTTCTCCTGCACGGAGGTAAGGATACAGCAAACAGCCTTTCTGTGCCCGTGCGGCATGCGCAGCAGGGGCAGACACCCTGATGCTTGTGTCTTTGTGGCAGCTATTGCGAGCACAGGGCTTCATGCTGGGAAAATCCAACATCTGCTCTGCGTGGGAGGATTAGCCAGAAGTAAAGCGCTGGTTCTTCCTTTCTTCCTAGGAGGCTGAATGTTCTGTTACTCTGTTCTCTCCCCATCCACTTTAGCAATACTTGACCCTCTTGCTACCCAGTATTTATAAAGCACTTTGTCTTCCAGCCGCTGAGTGACTAGGGTGCAAAGTAAGCTCTAATGATGACTGACCAGTATTTTGTGAAGCTGTCTTTGTTCCAGCAGAACCTGAGGCTGATTGAAGCCCTGTGCTTGCAGTAGCAGGAAGACTAGCTAAGAGAGAAGTTATCCAACTTCCTGCAACTTTTAAGCTGCAGCTGTCTTTCTCCTTTGAAAAAAGGTCAGGGTGGTCTTTTCCCCAAAAGTGAACAGTGCTGCTTGCAGTGAAGGACAGGCCTTGGGAGGAAGTTTTCTAGAATGAAACTTCCCTGGGCTTATTTCTAACGGGATGCTGTTTCTTGGGACCTCAGTTGACAGTTTTCTTGCTGGGACATAACATCCTGCCTGCTCCAGAGCAGGTGTGACCAAGCTATGCATGATGAGGAACCCTGGCTCATTTGGTCTCTTGTTCCTCCAGGTGTATGTTTGCCTATAAACTGGGCCTCCAGGATCTACCCCAGTCGGTGGCTTTTTTTAGTGCGGTGGATATTGACCAGTGCTTAAGGAAAGAGGTGACCATGAGCTGCGCAACCCCCTCAAATCCAACGGGGATGGAGAAGAGATACGGCATCCCCCAAGGTGAGCAGCCTCTGCAGGAGGGGAGCCCCTCGCCTCCCCTGCCCTGCGGCTCTGCAGCCATCGCCCTGCACGGGCCAGGCACTGCTTGAGGGGAAAGAGAGGAAAGGAAAACACTTGGCCGTGGGCAGACACTTGGCCCCGACATCTGCTCTATACCCTAAAACCTCCTCTTGTTGCTCCCTTCCTTGGGAATCCCCCTCTCAATACCTGACCCTGCCTGGCACTTCTGCAGGCAGAGCTGTCTGTGGGTCTGTTTAGGCTGTTCTGGCCAATCTAAGGGTTTAGGGGCATAGAGTTGTACGTTGTTAGATTCTCTTTCTCCTTCCTTCTTGATTAGTTCTGGAAGAGCTTGTGTTGTTTCTTTTAAGTATTTGGGAAAGAGAGATGGGACAGACCTGCCTCTTCTCTCATGTTGTTTCCTTCATCTCCTCTAAAGACAGATGAACATCCTCATTTCACGCATGGCCCAAGGTTGAATTTTCCTCCCCTAAAGGAGGAATGATGAATCAGCCACCTCCTACCTTTTGCCCTCCAGCTCCAAGCTTTTCCAGCCTCCAGGACCCTTTTTTCCTTCTCTGCTGCCCTTTCAGCCCAGCACAGCTGTGGTCTGAGAACAGGCTCTACTGCAAGCTTGAGTGTAGTGCTCTTCCCCTGAAATCCAAGAGCCTGTGCTAGTCCCTGTCTGCACTTGGCAGAGCCCTGGTTCCCTGGTGCAAGCTAACTCTTCACTAGGAACCTTTTTAAATAGCTTCTCCCCCTGTGCAGCACTGTTCTCAAAACAGAACCTGCCTGCAGATTTGTGCTTGCCTCTTTGAACACATCACACACACACTCCAGCTTTTCACAACCTTTATTAGGAGTCTCTCATGCAAGGTCTGCTTTTAGAGGGACTGGGGCTGTGGGGGCAAGAAGGACCAAGACAAAGTCCCTGAGGACTGAGGCAAACCAAGCAAGTGCCTTGCATCAAGGCCAGCAAAAACATAGCCCTGCCTGCTGGCTCAGGAGAGGGAGCTGTCACTTCTGCCTCCCAGCAGCTGTACACAGCAGCAAGCTTCAACTCCAAGGCAGAATCACTCCTAGTTCCACCTTCCTGGCAGTGCTGGTTCCTGCATTCACACCACCACACAGCAGTAGTTCTAACAGATTTAGAACTTTTTGTGCTAAAAAGCTATGAACTAAAGAAATAATTATTGTCAGTCTCTTGCTCTTAAGTTTGTCTAACTTTGCTGCAGAATGCAAGTAACAGCGTCCCTTGTCTTCCAGGTGAAGCGCTGGATATATATCAGCTCCTTGACATAACTCAAGGCTCGCTGGAGAAGTGATGAAGCTAGAGGGCCAGAATGCGTTGTGCAGAGAGCAGGCCTGGCTGTGCTTTCAGCAGCAGAGCTCTGGGCAGGGTGATCTGCTTTCCTTTGCCTGGAAGGGATGCTCCTGAGGGAAAATATGGAAATATAGCAGCACATTCTAATGGCACAGGCACCTTCCAGGGCAGCAGGTAGCTCTAAGAGCTGAGGCAGTAGCCAGAGTCACGTCTTATGCGCCCATGGACATGAAGGAAGAAATTACAAGCATTTGTCTATGCAAACAATAAACCACCATCTTTGTATATACGGTTCTCCGAGACCAAAGTGGGGTCTGCCACGGAATAGGCACTGTGGGAGGCTGCAACCACAGCTTTACTCTTTTCTTGATCTCTTCTTTTTGGGTTCCTGGTTCTCATCTGGCTGCTCTGCTGTGCTGCTCTGAGGAGAAAGAATATCAGTTGAGAGTGAATGTGCAATTACACTGAGAGCTCACCAAAGCCAAGGAAAACCCCATGTGCGGAACAGGATTTAACTCTTTTTCCTCCCTCCAGTGAGTGGCCTGAAGCATGGGACTATCCTCACCCTATGAAACTTCCCTTAAGAGACCCCTTTGTGGTGGAATTCACAGCCCAGGTTATGAAAGGTACAAAATAGGGAGTATTTTTTTAGCATGTGGCACTTTGGCTTGTTGAAATAGAGGAAACTATGGACAGAAGCACGACTGAAATTCTGCACAGTCAGTAAGGGAAACTGGTTTACTCTTATCCAGTGCAGGCTCTGCTACCTTCACCAACACCAACTACTACAGGAAAATGAGGCCTTGTAGAGTCTGTCCTGCAGCCATTTCTCTACAGCCTTTAACTCAGATGCAGAACCACTTGAATCTGTGTCAGCTCCTTAGGCAAACATGCTGCAAAGCTCTGATGCAGCCCAGCAGGTCTACAGAGGGAATGCTGAAAGATGATCCTGCTTGCTTAAGATGCAACAGTCTGAGGCAAATGGCAATAGGGGCTTAAAATAGTGTCTCTTTCCCAAGAGAGAGGATAGACAGGACTGATACATGAACTTAAAGCTCCCTCAAGGCAGAGGGGAGGGGACCTTGGCCAAGGTACCTGTTCATTTGTTCATAGGGTCTGAGTGAAAGCGAGGACTAATCCAGGGAAGACTGAACTATCCTAATTTTACATATAACCTAACGGAATCGTAACCTAGAGAGGGGGAACCCAGCAGCAAGAGCCATCAGCTGAGTCCCAACCTGGTCGTTGTCGGGCTCGTTCTCGGTGTCCTCCGCGCTGTGCTCCTGCAGGGCGCTCTCCAGCAGGGACGCGTTGATGCGGAAGTCCCGGGAGGTGCTCAGCTTCATGTATTGCATCAGGTTCACCTGCAGCAACCACAGGGCAAAGGTCCAGCATTAGCGTCCTAACGTCGCCTTCTGAACAGCGCTAGGATCAAGTTCCTCATGACAATGGTATAGGACAGCAGGAAAAAAAGGTAGATTAAAAAGCACCTGCCTCCATGCAAGCAGGTAGCCAATTTCTGTTTTCAGAAGGGCAAAGTGATCACCAGTTACTGTCACGAGAGAGGACTTCACTGTGGTACACTTCCCCAGCTCTTAAAACAAGCTGGAGGGTGAGGAAAGTTGGCATGAGCTGGTTTAGCTTCTGCTTAAGCAGAAACCACACTGCTTTAGGTCACAGGCAGAGCACTCCTGCTTACACCTGCTGATACATCTTTGCTGATACATCTTTACATCTGCCCTATGAGGAAAGACTGAGAGAGCTGGGCCTGTTCAGCCTGGAGAAGAGAAGGCTGAGAGGGGATCTAATCAGTGTATATAAATACCTCAAGGGAGGGAGTGTAGAGGACGGGGATGGTCTCTTTTCAGTGGTGGCCACTGATAGGACTAGAGGAAATGGCCGGAAACTGAAACATCAAAAATTCCATAGGAACTTAAGGAAAAATTTCTTAACAGTGAGGGTGACAGAGCACTGGAACAGGCTGCCCAGAGAGGTTGTGGAGTCTCCTTCTCTGGAGATCTTCAAAACCCGCTTGGATGCAGTCCTGTGCCACGTGCTTTAGGTGTCCCTGCGTATGCAGGGGGGTTGGACTAGATGATCTCTAGAGGTCCCTTCCAACCCTAAGCATTCTATGATTCTATGATACCACCCTAACAGTAGCTCAGCAGTGTTGGGCCCCGAGCTGGGGCAAAAGGTGAAAAAGGGTTAAGTTCCTTATGTTTTTCCTAATCTGAGCAGCAAAGGTGGAAAGATAAGAGCTTTCCAACATGCCCCTGTATCACTATTCTGCTCTGTTCAGATGATATTACCTTTGATTTCTTGGAGAGATGAATAAGGAATTTCTCATATTGTTCTATTGCAAAAATCAGGTTTGGGATTGGTTTTGTCTCACGAAGCACCTTTGCCTGGAATGCAAAGAGGATGGGAAAAGGTGAGATTTAGAAATGAAGATTCTGAAGATTATATTTTACTCTCATTAACAAGTATCCCAACTATGGTGCTAGCACATCATATTTATAGTAGCAACTTGGATATGCTAAAGAAAAAAACAAAAGTGAATTCCATATCCACTCCCTTTTAGCAAAATGTCTTCATCAGCCTTATTCCACACCAGTCCTGCCCCATCAAACCATTCCAGCTTAGTTTATTACTGTGTTTGACTCATTCCCCAAATGCAGGTGCTATGAGGAGGTCCCAGGTTTCTTTTGCACTCTTGCTTCAGTCCACAGCCCTGAGAGCAAACGGAACAAACGTTCTCTGCTCTGGCTCTGCCAAGGCCTCACAAGCCCCTGCTTTGCAGGCAGTGAGCACAGACCATGTTTCACCATGTTTCTGTCCAATTTACTTGATGTTCCTTCCCCGGGCTAATAGGGCACTGGCAAAAGGAGACGTAGCATTTCAGAACGTTTCTTTTTGGAGGACACCTTGAAACCGCAGCCTTGGGGGATTTTTTTTACTGGGGCATCACAAGAATGGTTGAGCCAACTGATGAGACCAGCTGGAAACACAGACTGACTTACTTCTGAAAGATGCAAAGGGCCTAGAACATGCCAACCCCCTTGATTGCTCCCACCTCACCCAGTCAGTCTTAACTACCACAAATGCCTTATTTTAGTGGAATCCAGAATTTTATCTTTAAATATAATGATACAATTAGGCAGTGCTTAAACAGCATGCAATAAATTGGTCTGTTTCTGTAATTCTATAGCTTCCTCAAACTATAAAACATTAGACAAATGATCTGGACTGTTTTGTTTCATTCCTGCATGCTTTCGAGTAGCATTTAGGGTTTTTTTGTCAATTTGTTTTTAAAAATTTATCTAAAATTCAGGTCGAATGAATTGATTTTCACTTAACAGCCTAAGTGACATTATGTCATTGGTGATCTATAACAAGCCACTGGGTACACACAAGCCTTGTGGTGTGATCCCAAGTTCAAATACAGCCCATGTTCTATGGACAGCTAGTAAATCTCACCATGACCGTGGAGATGGCAGCAGTTTCATCTTTTTTCTTCTTTTTCTTCTCTTCTGCAAAGTTTAAGTTCTCACTGTGAATATTCTGAAAAGGAAACCAAAGATGTGGTGTCAGAAGGTAATGAGGAAAAAAAAGACCAGCTAAGTAATGCTATAAAGTCTTTGCTCTAGCCAGCTAATGCAGCATTACCAGTTCATTGACAGAAACAATTGTGATAAAAGGACAATGGAAGTGGAAGTAGTCTTAAAAAAAAAAAAACCTCTAAAAACACTACACACACACACACAAAAAAAAAACCTACAAACACCTAATTGATTTATGCATTCAGAAATGCATATGTCAACTATCTGTCTTCCAGACACACCACTGTATCTCCCTTCATGTGCCATATGCCTGGTCTACAATTCCTTAGGTCCCTACCCAAGCATCCAGCTCCTGTCCAAAGAGATAAATCCCACTTCAACCTGTTGCCATAGTCACACAGGTTACTTTAAATTGCCATGACAGTGGTGGTGGTGACCTTTATTTGCCATTTTGCTTAAAAGCAGTTTTGAACTTACTCAAAAAATCCACATGAATAGAAAACAAATAAAAACAGAACCCTGAACATCTCGTTCCCTGCCCAAACATATGCCCATGTGGTTGGCCCAGTGCTAAGAGATGTATTTCAAGCTTTACTATGTCAGATCATAGTATGAAACAAGAAACTCATGTCAATATGTCAATAAGGCCCATAATCCCAGAAAGTGCCCTCACACTGTATGTGATGCACAACTGAGCATCGGAGTGCCTAAGTATGGTTGTGTCACAGTTAATTTAGACCTTACCTGAACATAAGTAATGAACAAGTAACATTGTGGGGTCAAATGGGAACCCGAGAGCTTCACCTGTAAAGAAGCAGAGAGGCTGGTGTAACTCCTGACAAGTGACAATGAGCCTCTTCCTCCAACAATGTGCTCGTACTCACCAGCTTTTCCAGCCTCCCTGGAATCGTGGTGGAGGTGCTGCGGCAAGCTTGGATATACTGCAAGAGAAACATCAGGGAGTCTCCTCTGCAAACTCTGTTCTTGTATTACAACCTGTTCTTGACAAGGGCTCAAGGCAGTTCATCTAACGGCATTTTCTGGCTGCTGAACAACTAAAGGAAGTTCTGACAAGAAGCTCCCTATTTCCAGAGGGCTGATTGCTGTCCTTGCCCAAAGGCAAAAAGTTATCATTTCCACAGCATGGAAACCTTGCTTTTGATTAAAGTAAAACTCCTTCCCTGTGCAAACGCTAGGAAGAAAAGGAATGAACTACAGGCCATTCACTGAGCTTACATGGTATTGTGGAGCATATAGGACTAACAGCACTGTATATTGTATGGAGTATGACTTGCTATGTCCTAAACAACCTGCTTGTATTCCAGAGCTGTGAAAGAGAGCCAGGGAATTCACTACCTTGTCTCAAACTAGCTCCACTGGCCTGTTTTTACAGTGCAGGTTCCCCAGCCCTATGCTTCAGGCCTTGCATGGCATTGAGGGGCAGAGGCCGGACAGCTGAGCACTGTGAAACTGCTAGTGCCGCTCACTGCAACACGTGACTGTGCGCTAAGGAAACTGCAAAGTAGCCCAGTCAGAAGAAGCTGCAGGCAAAGCTTACTAGAGAAAAGCTTGACTTTACCTCCACTGGCACAACTATTACTACTGCAGAAAGGCCATGGAACTACGTGCATGAAAGCCAACAAGATAAGAGCTCAGTTTGTGCAGGAGATGAACAGTCCAGGCCTGACAGTAGCTGCTGCCAGGGGTCACTGTGAGCTCGACGGGAGAAGAGGCTGTGAGATCCCAGCCAGGCCCCTGTCAGCAGAGCAGCACTCACATGTTTGATGAGGGAGGTGAGAATGGCATACGTCTTGCTGAGGCTTCTCAGCAGTGTCTCCACGCAGCTCCCTGCGGGGAGGGCTGTCTGTACCAGCTCATGATAAACTGTCAGCAGAGTTCCCAGCTGCAGAATTACTCCTTTCTCCAGAGCCTGGGTCTGGTTTGATGTTTGAGAAGACTCTTCTAGAAAACAGACGTACATATGCCAGGTATGCAAAATGAACCCCGTTATGCAGGTAGGAGATCAAGACGACCACCTTTGTGTCAGGTGCACAGAGCACCAGCATGGCACAGCAAAAATGAAACGTTGGAGGTTATTGTAACAAGGCCCTGTTCATGTGGAAGCAGCTCAAGGGAGAGTTTAAGCTGCTCTGAGATTATATTACTTCAAAATCCTGAAATATCTTCTTGCTCTCTAGCTTCATCTGTCTTTTACAAGGATGTAACAGAAAGCAGTGGACCACTATTATTACCTGATGTGTCTGATCCCAAACTGTTAAGTTTCTTGATAAGCCAGTCCACCTCTTCAAGGACCTTCTCTGCCTGACCTAGAACAAGCAGCTAAGACAGACACACAATAATAAAACAGGTTCTTGGAAGAGTCTGGCACACCAGGAACCTACCAGACTTATACCACAGCAGCTCTGGACATTATCTGGGCAGTAAAAAGCTGTTTAGTACACACAGTTTTGACTCACACAAATAGTTGGGGCAGCAGTCTTGGTGTTCACTATGGCAAAATGCGACCGACTCTCCACTTCTACATCCTGGAAGGGGGAAGGAAGACAGAAACTCTGGTGAGCAAAACTTTAGCTGCCCTCGTGTAGTTTGCTCCAGTGTTACTGCAGAGATGCACTCAATTCTGCCCGACAGCAGTAAATGATGAAGAGCTGGGCTCTCACGGACTCTGTACCATACCTGATCTATGTCTCCCAGGCAAGCGTGGACATCCTGTGCAAGTTCACGTAGCAAACTGACAGGGCTCTTGTACAGAGCATGGAGGTTGAAAAGCAGAGTCAGCAAACCCTTACAGCAAGCGATGTCCTCTGTGGGGAAGGGACAAAGAGAAAACACATGTTACCAGAGCAAAACTTCACTAGCTTTCAGGAACATCAGGCATCCAGTGAGAAAAAAAGCTCAGATCCTGTATCTTCCAACAGTCTACTTTCCCAGAAGAGATATACAATACATGAGAAATGTATCAAAATAGTGTAGATACCAAAAGCAGGGCTTACAACAGCAACAAAATCCACAGGGCTCTGCAAAAGGTATTAGTTCTTGCCCACATCCTTGCTCACCAGTCTCTCAACTTAGAGCAAGCAAGATCCAGAGGCTACATGACAGACATTCCATGTAACACTACAAGGGAGAATATGTCACTCTGGAGCCCTCAATTCATAGAAAAATGATGACCAGAAATATTGAGGAACTGCAGTACAAACTCTAGGATAAATTAATGCTTTTTCAAGGTTTACATCCAGATTTGAACAACAGATGTGCTTGATAAAGGGAGAAGGCAAGTGACTTCTTTCACTAATGCTACTATTTGTTAGGGCTGAGCCTCTCCCTGATACTCAAGATTAACAACACAAATCATGGAAAGGCAAAAGGTGACCCCGAACATATCTGTAACACAGAGGTGAAAACAAGACAGACAACAGCAAACCTAAGAGCCTGACCTCAGAAGTGAGGCATCAAATCTAAATGTGCTCCAATATCTTACTTACCCAGAGCATTTTCTTTGCAAATTTTCACTGTCCAAGTCAGGAACTGAAGGAACTATAAGAGGGAAGAAAATATATTTATGGCTTTGAAACAATTCAAAGTATAAAACTATTCCCCACCACCCCCAAAACAATAACTTAAGGTAAATGATGACTCCAGGCTTCTGGCACACTTTTATTGTAGTCTCTAGCTTGTGAAATTGGGGCACCTCTAAACTTCAGAAAGGGTCTCCTTGCACGGAAGGGAACAGGCACTCAGCCAGTGCTTTCTGAAGAGCTGTGTTTAGACTGCTCACAGGTCTCCAGGCTTTGTTTGGATTTACTCCCACGTGGAAGACATATCTACCATACATATGTGGAATATCATATCTAGGCTCTAACAGAGTCTGTGTGCAGAACAAGTGATTCAAAGACTGGATGCCCAAAAGCAGGATCAGGACATGCAGTAGGAAGGTGAAAAGATTTCTACACTTTCTACACATTCTACAACTGTCCTTGCAGGCATTTGACCTGGCAGAGTAATACCTGACAATATGACAAAACTTGCTCTGACAGGGTCTGGTCTGGAGGGAAGGCAGAATGCACTAACACATCAAAGCTCTCAGATGTCCACCCAAGCTGACAATCTTCACACACCTATGGACATACATCTTTCATACATTCTTCCCCATCTCAAAAGGCTGTGAAGTACCTGCTGGGAGGCTGGCTCAAGGAGTTTGGACAAAGTGGAGAGAACTGTGATGAGCAGCTGGGTTTCCTTAGAGTTGAAGTCATCTTCAGCACTGCTAAACTGGTTCACCAGAGACCTCTGATCATGGGAAGGAAGGACAGAGTCCCTGAGTGTATATGCTTGTGGCAAAGCAATTTTAAGAAGCGAATAATAGAATAACAAAGAATATAAAATAAGAACTACCCTTCTAAAGTGCCATTTTCAAGTGCTGGGTTTTGTTATGATTGCTTACATAAAAGCCAATGTTTGATTCAGTAGGATTTCTGCAATACTCAGGTAAGTGTGTACGCTGCACTACTGGATGCTGCAGCTAACATTTTAGGAGCAATACAGCTCCCTAAATACATGCCCAGTTCAAGCCCACTCTATACAGAGAACCTGAAGAAGCTTATCTTATGATTCAGAAGCTCTTCTGAATAGCAAGAGAATCGCTGAGCATCACAGTTGCTATCACACACTCAATTCAGTGGTCAAGCAAGAGAGCACTAACACTATTTTTTGCAAGAATTACCAGTACTTTTGGAATACTTGCAACACACAATGATACTTACCTGAAATTGTCGAATCTGGAAGGCAGCTTTCTCTGTAACATTAATATCTGCTTCTTCTGCATCACCATCAGTAATATCTGGCAGAGACACAGAAAGCTAAACACCAAGAGCAGAATACAGGATTGATATCCAGAAGTGGGAAAGATCTGCTCACACCTAGGGCAGGAATACAGACTGCATAACTGCAGCAAGCACTGAACAGTGGTAAAGGCAAACTTTGGATAGATGAATGTTCTATTGGGCCCAACTGTTCTCTGCTGACAGACTGGGGGTTCTGTAAAAGCAGGTAAACATAACTCTAGAACTAGCCTCTGGAACAAGAATTAGCGTGAGCCTCCACAGCTACTAAGCCCATGTTGCTGCCGAGGGACAAGGGATGAACTCCTCTTCCCGCTTAGGAATAAGGGGCATATGTGGCCTGGAACACAAAGGCTGGAAACCAGAGCAGAGTTGCAGCACGTGCCTACCGAGGGCTTGTAGAAACTGGGGGATCCTGGCAGCATACAGGTGCTGCACTGTGTTGAAGATCCGCAGCAGGCCCTCCAAGCACAGGAGCGAGATGCTTTTGCCCTTCTTCTTCCCTGACTCTTCGACAACAGTGGGAATTGAAGTGTACCTCCACAGCAGAACTCTAGGGCATGGGAGAGGAGTTAACATCACGCGCTCCAGTAAAGCTGGATGCACAGCACAACAACTAGGTTAGGGCTAGTCACAGACCCTACTCTTAGGATCATGTTCTTAACACAACTGAATTTGAAGGTCATTTCCCTGTAGGACAGGCAATGGGGAAGAGATCTATTTTAAAGACAGATTTTGTTTGTATATCATCAAAACAGACACTGCTTTACAACTAAATAATTTAACACCAACCACTCATGTCAAATCTGTCATTGACAAAAGAAGCTGCTTCTCTCTTGGCACTTTGAATTTGTGAAATGTCAGGTATCTCTATGGGGCTCTACAGAAATAAAATCAGAAAGGTAAAGGCAGGCAAAACAAAGTTAAAGCTTTGAAGAAATCAAAACTGTTAGGTTCAAAGGACACATCTCTCTATGTCCAAGCAATTCTTTTCCTGCTCCTCTAAGCCCACTTCTTCCCCTTTCTGTTCCCCCTCTTTTCTTCTTGTTAGTTCTCTCTCCTGCAGGGATGATCCTATTCTATTTCAGTGCCCAGTCATGCAAACACATAGCTCAAATGCTGTCCTAATGACTGCAGCAAAACTAGCCTCTATTACCAGGAACCAAACACAAACTGGACACTATTAAGGGCAGATGCAATTTGTGTTTCATGCTCTGTGCTGTCAGGAATCTGAAGAGACCTTATGCAAATATGAGCCATAAACCCACAAGACATTTAGATGCCTAACATTCTTTCATTTCCCAAGGATTATATGCCTGAATGTCTTTGAGTATTTTGCAAAACTTCTAACAAATGCTTTGCTAAAGCACATATCCTTCTCACATCTATTTTACACTGTAGCTAGAAGTGAATTTTAACTTCATTGCATCTCAGAGGTCTCCAGAATCTAGCCTGCAACCATCCTGCTTTCTCTGTGACTATGAATGATGAGTGAAAAATCTGAAATGGGCTAAAAAAACAAGAGTTTGATAGGGTTTGGTTCTTCCAGGCCAAGTGCCATTATCAGAGCTGCACCACTCACGCTAGCACAAAAACTTGTAGTGCCTACACTTCATTTTCCAGGAGCAAAGACAGTGATCTTAATCCAGATACAACTATTATACCAAACAACAGCTACAGACCACAATCTTTCTTCGAAGTTTCATCCGAGAATCAAAAATCCCCAGGGTTGCTGTCTTTATTTTGCACAGTGACTCACCGCGTGATTCTGCAAAGGTTCTGAAACATCTTCTCAGGGTTTTGTCCATCTGGGCCGTCAGTTTGTCCCGTCTCCTCCAGTTGCTGCACCTTCTGCAGAGCTACGCTGACAGCATAGCGCAAAAACTCTGTGCTGGAGCGCAGGACCGCCAGGCTTTCCTCGTGGCTTTGTGCATTGTCCCTGGAGAATCAGAGCACAACCAGGGAATTGAGAATGGACTGAAAGAGCACAGGAATGGCCTGTCATCACTTCATCCCTGCACTCCAGAGCTCAAGTCACAACCAGCATATTATATAGAACATAACTGTCTCTATAGCTCCTGCTAGTTTTCAGTCTGGCACACAAGATTAAAAATTGTATTGATTCACAAATAAATCACTAGTTGAATTCAGGGGAAGAGACCGACTGTTTTGGTAGCTTGTAATATACATTCAGAAGACAGTTCCATCAGCCTTCCCAAATGTACTAGAAGGCATGGTTTGTACAGATGTCTACAGATGTCCTTTAAAGGACTGGAGCTCAACTCCAAGGTTGATGCCTGGGAGTGGGCAAGGATTGAAAGAGCAGGGATTCTCCAATGTCTTGCAAGAGACAAGCACAGACCAGGGAACTTGGTATGTCATGGCTTGCATGGTTACAGTTTCTACCTGGGCTTTGATGCTCTCCAGACAATGAGTGCTGTTACCCCACATATTTTGTACAGAATTGAAATGTCTGTGCTGTGCATTTGCAGCACGAGAAAGCCAGCATGCAGATACCATAAAAATGGCTTGTGGGCAGGACTTCAAGCTATTCCAGCTGTGACAGCTTCTCACCTGAACAGAGCTGTAAGCAGAGTAGATACAAAACCCATGGACAGGAAGCTCCGGGCAGTTTTGTTGCCTAACATAGATTTGTTCTTTCCAGCTTTCTCCTTCAGGATTTCAGACAGTTTGTTGTAACATGTAAACAGACCTAGGACATCCTCAAATTTGTTTTTACTGCAACAAAACAACAGAAAGCATTAATGGAGGAAATCCAGTTTTACTCGTTCCCCATTTTAACCTTTAATTATATAAAGACACTTTCTAGATGGTAATTTCCTGATACGTGACATCTCCCTGCCTCCCGAACAGGGTGCATCCTCTCCATTCCTTCTTGATCTGCCCTTCTACAAAATGTCACATCACATCTCTCCTGCAACACACAATGACATTCAAAAGAAAGACATTCCCCAAGGTTCTGTGAAGCTCTGTGCCACAAGGAACACAAATAAGGAAAGCAACATTCTGTATTCATGTTGGCAATATTTTCCTGTGTTTGCAGAGTGTCTCCCCTGCACTCTGGGGAATCAGGCACAGTACAGCCCAGTTAGTGCTGAAGGACAAAGTTTGATATTTTACCTGAAATTCCCTATGTTGAAATTGTACTCTATCAGGACCTCACAGATTCCCATCACCAAGATGGCATAGATATTATTCTTCACACCAACACCAGAAGACAGAGAAAAATCTGCTGATTTATCCTAAGATGACAAGTGAAAATAAGTGAAAAACCTTTTCAAAACCTGACAAGAACTCAGGGTCTTCTTCCATCAAGGCAAATTGAAAATCTGATTTACCAGTTCAAAGTCTTCCAGCTCGCTCTTTATCATTCGCCGTGTGACAGAATCTAGCATCTCTTCAAAGTTTTGCTGAAATCCCACATCCTCCTCCTCCTCCTCCTCATCTTCCACTCCTTGGTGTAGATGCACAGTGCTCTTATACCAGGCTAGACAGTGTTGGATACAACTGAACAGATGGGCCTGGAAGGAAGCAGTCACATGCTACTCATCCAGCCTTCTACCTGGAGGGCCCTGCAGACGTAGAACAGACTGTGCCATGCCACAGACTACACTATTACAGCTTAATGCAAAGGGCCACAGTTGCCTTCAGAGGCTCCAAAGAGAATCTCTTGTTCACGGAAGAGACCTTTTGTAATCCTACACACGGTTACTCAGCTCTAATAAAGGTTTTCAGACAATGTTACATGCATGAACTTGTCTATACAGAATGTACAGGCTCAGCTCCCACTGCTCCTGCAATGTGCTACCTCAACTGCTGAAGGAGGTGGAGAGGCATTTTCCAAAAAGCCCCCACTCTAGCTAACATGTCTGCTCCCTTCCTGGGTGTGCTACTGGAGCACAGCATGGAAGCTTCCTTAGGGAAGAACAAAATGACGAATTTGAATTTGTTCCCTTGAAAATTCTAGGAATCGTTGAGATCTAGTCTCCAACAATATCAAAGGAGCAAGATCAAAGGGCAGATTCCTTTTCCTCCAGACACATGCACACTGTGCTACTATTCTGTTTAGAATTAAGTTGATGGAAGAAAAAAATAGGATTAGCTCAACAGAGGGTAACAGAACTAGACTATTCCTACAGCACTTCTCAGAGTGGTCCCCCAAATCACTTAACAAACAGAATTCTTGTAGACAATCCGAGACAGGGATGAAATGCCCAGCTCTGTTGTTGTTATAACAATTGCTCCAAGCTAGGAGGGAATGAAGATACTCATCTCATGGAGAAGCACAACTGAAAAGCCATGAAACAAAGGAGCCTGCAGATGTGGCCACTCTGTACAGCTCTTACCAGTGGTTCTTGCAGAAAGACTTGATCTCCTTGAGCCATAATACATCCTTCAAGTTTCAGTGGGGGCAGTAGGTCTGGCTGAGGCAAATAATATTGCTTTATCTGTCACATAAACAAGAAATAAAAATAACTAGTTACTTAGTAACTGAATCTCTTGGGTTGTTTCAATATAGAGCATTAAAAAAAGCTTTGTATTCCACTGCACGGGGGGGGGAAAAGGGGCACTATGATAACAGGACCATACATGTACCTGAGCCATGGCATCTAGTATTAGGAACTTTTGTTCATTTGCCTCTTGGCCAGCATGATAGGTCAATCTGACCACTTGCTTTCGTGTGGCTTCAACATGCAACATCACTTGCATTTCACCTGCAGTGTCATCTGTCCTTTGATCAGCAAGGATCGCTGATCAGTAACCACTCCTGTTCCCCTGCACACATGCTCAGTGCTTGGGCCTGTTATGACATCCAGCTTCTTAGCTTGGGATGCAGACACTTATGGAGGTGACACTATAGCAAATGTATTTTTCTTGCACAAATTCCTGGCTGTTTGGCACCCCAGAGGAAGGAGATATGCTCCTAGTACTGATATAGGATCAGAATTGAATAGGGAAAGTTATATATAATGATGCTATGAAATTTTATACATTTACATCAAGTTCCCATTAAGTGCCCTCTAATACCTAGAAGCTGCCTTGGCTCTGTTCTTGTTCCCTTCTCAGACCCTATACCAGCATGGCTGGGAAAGCTGGAATTAGTCAGCGTGAACTCTACAGATGATTAAAGGGAAGAAAATTACTTGTCTCAAAGAAAGCACAATCTGTCCAATGGATTGAGGAAATGTGATTGTCTTGTTGCCATGAGCAACACTGTTGGGGGATGAGTTAATCCTCCTCGATCCTACACGGACTTGGATACCTTCCCCATGGGCGGACGGCAATGATAATTACTATGTAAGTACCATCCCTGGGAAAGCAGGGGAGGGTAACTCGTGCAAAGCTAAGAAGGACAGAGCACACAAAGCACTTTGCTTCTCAGAATCACAGAACTGAAGGACTGGAGGGGACTCCTAGAGATCCTTGCTCTCCCATCTGAAACAGGAGGTGAACTGCTTGCCACAGATGTTGCATAGCCTCCTCTCTGAGTAGAGCAGGGATTGTAACACCTTCCTATAGGATTGCCATAGCACTTAAGCATCTTTGGAGTGAAAGGGAGAAAAGCGTTTTCCTGATATTTAACCTAAATTGCTTGTTATACTGGTTGCAGTCCGCAATTCCTAGAGGCCTCTGCAAGCATCTCACTGAGTGGTACTTTACCTGGGACAAAAGCGTTTCCATTATGGAGCTGGCGAGCTGGGAGTTCCTACGAAGGACATCATAAAACCCCTAAAGATGGGAAGAAAGGACAGGTTGGCTTACACGACAAAGGAAAATAACCCTATTCATGACAGGTTTGTGTCACAAGACAGCAACAATCCTTTGGCACCGCAAGTAATCATAAGGAAGTAACAGTGTGCTCAGTGTAAAGCCCTAACCTGGCAAAGAAAGGGCACAACAGAAAGATGGGATGAATCACAAAGACTATGAATTTCCTCACAGGAGGAGGACACAGCCCTCTCACAAGCTGCATCTCCCTAGCAGTGGTGGCATCAAGCCCAGAGTGACTTTCCATGCTGTTTAGCACTAGCACTAGATCCAACTTCAAACTGTGAAATTCTGGTTCAAAGGCAAAACAACACAGTGGGGAAACTGGAGGAGGCAAAAAACTTTTAATCAGAAAAATCTCAGCAGACAGAAAAAGCAAATGCAAGACCTGTAGCGACACCAACACACACAGCAAAAACTCACGACCTACCAAAAGTCTGTCCAAGCAAGTCAAGGAAGAACACAAAATCTCTAAGATCTAAAGAGCTTTCCTTTCCTCAAAGCTGGTACCCCCTAGTTACCTCAAGAGCTAAGATAATGGACATGCAAATCGCTCTTTGTCACAAGACACACATTATAGAAGTTACAAAAGGAGAGGTAAAGGCAGATTTCTTACAGAGTCATTAAGGAAGTTCTCCCCCTACTCTCCTGCCAGGGCCCTCTCTTTGAGGCCTGTCATTAACTCCCAACAACACTACTCCTGTTCCAATGTCTGTTATAACATTATTCCCTACTGGGCACGAAACATGCTTTCCATTTCCGGGACCACACCAAAGGAGGAGAGACTGACACATTCTTACTATCAAGCAGTGTCAAGTTATGCATCAAACAAGGCAAATGCATAAATGCCTTCAGCCTTAGGATAGTCCAAAATAAGGAGAAGCAGGAGAATTGAAGAAAAAAATAATAGTCCTTGGGATAAGTATGCCTGTTCCACAAAGAACAAAAGATGAGGGATCCTTTTCCACAATAACATGGTCATTACTGACCTGGAGCTACAACAGAGCCAGACTACAGAAAAGCTAGTAGTGGTTTACAAGGAGATGGAAGGATCTGTGTTTACCTCGTACAGCATGAGTCGGACATCCGCTTGCTGGCTCAGGCATCGCCTCAGGCTGCCCAGGATCTCAAGGCAGAAGGCCTCGTTAGCTGCAGAATTATAGCAGGCATGAACATCTGCCTGGATCTGAGAGGGAACATTAGTCACATCATACTGGTTACAGTTCTCAAATATCACAACTCAGAAGAAAGGTGATTAGAGGCCTGATCCCTAAACAATCATTGTGATAGTCCTTTGCACATTGCCAGGCTCTGCACCATCACCATGGAGCAGTGCAAGTGCTCCAGTACTGATACCAGAAGAGAATGCAATGCTAGGGGTTACATCCCTTAATCAGCTTCCTTTGCACCTTCCATTTCCAAAAAATCCTTCTCTCCAACACTAATTCTTACTAAAGATATACTTTGATTTGGAGGAAACACTCCTCACTGAGATGCCTCAAACACTGCATGTGATACGTGAGACTGTCTCACACATCTGCATGAGCGGATGCAGAACAGCACTCACCTGAGTGGCACCAATGGCCTGGCTGCACTGGGAAGAGGACAAGCTGCCCAGAACCTTGAAATTCCTCAGCAGAAGTAAAAAGCCAGCAACTGCAGCTTTACGGGCATCGACCTGCCTGCCAGTCAGGGGTAAAAAAAGTAAGAAAAAGAGCAGCTTAGGGAAAAACAGATGCAAGAAGCTCAGAAGAAAAGACCGACAGTTTGCTGGGAGCTCCTTAGTTCTTCAGTCTCACAACATTCCATTTCCTTTTTGCCCTCACCAGAACCCCAGAGAGCCAAGCATTAAATGACCCATGGAAACTTGAAAAGGAGCTTCTCACTGCACTCTTGTACCTTTCAGAGTTGAAAAAATTGTAAAGAACAGACAGTGTTTTGCTTTGCTCACTGAAACCACAGCTTTCTGCAAGACCAAGTCCCTTGCATTGAATAATATTTATAAATTATGATTTCTGTATTCGTAAGCAGGCAGCTTACAAGGCAGCTTTGCTCACCAAAATCCAGTCTGTGATCACAGCATTATGAAGACAGCAAGATGTTTTGCTCAAAGCATTACCAAGACAAGCCCACTTTTCTACCACTTAAGTAAAGGATCAAAGGGAAGGTGGTAGCTGAGCACCAACTCAGCGGTTCCTTCTGGATGATCCCTAGCATCTGGACATAAGCAACTGTGTAGATGCATGCTGGAACTAATTTTAATTTTGGCATCTTATTAGAATTTCCCAATAGTTTTCTGAGTTTCTAAGGCCCATCCAGCCAGGGGTTGAGAATTTTGTCTCCCTGGGTAGGGCTGTGCTTGCATTATGGTCCTATGCTAAAGGAGAAGGAAACATCATCACTTTCTTATGGGAAGAACAGAGCAAGAAGGCTATTATCCAAAACAGTAAAATTGATTTCAGCTCCAAAAATGTAAAGGAGTTGCAGAAACCTTTTCAAAGAACCCCTTTCCCAGCTTACCTGGAAAAGATAGCTTTCTGGAGGACAAGTATCAGGGAGTCCCTCACTGACATGCTGACCTTGAGCAGAGGCTGGAAAGGAACAGATACTTTGGAGAGAAAAGCATCAAGACATGCCAAGCCCTGGGTGCCTGTGAGCTCATCTTCCCCAGGCAGGCCCATCTGGCCTTACATTTCCACCTTTCAATACAGTAGGAAACACAGAGTATTTTTTTAAAACATATGAAATAAAAACCAGAGAGTTGTAATAGCAACACACTTTTTCATCAGGTTAGTGAGAATATTGTGCAAGGGTTTGGGAAAGAACTGCTGTCCTCAAGTTGGGCTAAGCAGGTAGAAGATTAAGCCCAGGGCAATACTTCAGCCCAGGAAAAGAGAAATACTGACATGGAGCTTAGATGGAGACAATCAAAGTGGCAGTCACAGCTGTACAGCTGGTCACTGTATGCCTAGATTTCTATACTGAACAGCATCTGAAAATCTTCCAGATGAAAGGTCAGGACAGAGCAGCTCCTATAGCATATGCTTCTTGCTAGAGGGCACATGCAAATCTGTCCTTGAAGAGCAGTTAGAACCTACAGCAGAGCATTACAGCTTTTTTTTTTTTCTCTTTTTTACAAGAAGTGTTACTAGGCCAAGCATATAATTGTGGCCTACAGCTATCATTAGCTAAGCTAACAAGGATATTCCTGGAGAAACACATGGATAGTCATGGAGGGCTTTACCTGTACTGCTCTGAGCAGCCCTTGCACTGTGTCAATGGGCAGAAAGGACAAGTTGTCAAAGGTCTCTGTGACTTTGGAAGATGAATTCTGAAGCACAAGAGGAGCAGACACAACAATATTGGACAGCAAATCTGAAAAATAAAATGGCAAAAGGAACAGCTGCTACCAAGGGCAAACAAAGATCTACATTAAGAAACAGGGCAAGAGGTTTCTGTAGGGATAACGGTTATAGAACGATTAAAATCCTTCCATTCAATGGAGAGATGAACATTGATGGTCTGAGATCTTTTGCAAGCACAAAGTGCATCAAGCCCACGACGCTGCTACCCCACTAGAGGGCACTGAGGTATAAGAGAAGGCTGCAGCACAGGGCTCTCCGCAGCCCTAGGGACTCGCAAGCCCCTTGGCAAGGGTGAGGAGGATCACAAGGCTAGGAACCTGCAACAAGTTACTGACGGATATCTGTGCGTCAGCTGTTCCATGGCAACTGCCTGCACACACGCTCTCATCCTGCGATAAATGCGAGGTGATCCGAGGTAGCTGACTGCTCATAAGAGAGGGGAAGGAACAACTGATTTTCTTGGCTTCAGGTCGCTTCAGCAAGAATTTGTTCTGAGAAGCCACATTCCGAGTGCCCACAGAACAGGACATCTTTCTTTCTTTTTCCTCTTACCTATGAAGTGGCTGACAGGCGAGGCTGCTTTTGTGAGAACTCTGTTCAGGACCTGCTCAAGAACATCACTTCTGATGGGCTCATGGACCTGAAATAAGAATGAACAATAAATAAGTTCAAAATCCACATAGTTTTAAGATACTCCCATACGTCAGAGCACAGCATTGTCTAGTACAAAGCAAATCTAGATCTAAAAGCTAAACGGGGACTAGTTGCCAGCAGCTCCTTCATCTATATACACATGGACTGATTCAGATTTCCTTGTAGTCTAGTCAGACTCAGCACATAAGTGAAGAATGTGCAATACACCAGGAACATACTGGGGCAAGTCCTCTGCTAGAAGCAAATTTATCATTGAAGATGTTGATTTTATTCCCACTGTCATATTTCTTTGTACTTTTCAATTTCTCTATCTTTTCTGTAGTTTCTCAGATTCTGTAATAGGGATCGCAGAAATATCATGGTAGCTGGACCACATTAAGCCTTTATAAATAGGACTTCTTCCAGCTGTATAGGAGAAAATAGGAGATTTAAACTCGTACCATTTGAAAGTACTCAGAGACAGAGATGATGGATACAGGGGGCAAAGTTTTAATACTGGTGACCAAAAGATAACAAGAACAAATAGTTGCCCCCAGAGAAAACTCTCCAAGCTGTACTCTACCTTAAAGGTTTCCAGGAGGATACTCGCTCCAAGTTTACAAGCCTGTTGGGCTGGTGTTTTTGAAAGGCCGTAACTGGTCTCAGCAACTTTTCCTCCAAATGGCTTTTTTGGTTCATACGATTCCATTAGGCTGAAGCCAAGATCCACAAGCCCCTGAGTAACATGGTCCCAGCCAAATGCACTGAGGAAAACATTAAACAGAGCAGGGGAAAAAAAACAAAGAACAGCTTAATCACAGAGGTAGTTTGGAATGGAGCAGTCAATAGTAAATCTTCTGCAGTCATGTCAGCATCCAAAGGAGCAGCAAGAGATGCTTGATCAGGCCCAGGCAGATGACAGCCCTCACAACCTTAAACAACTGTTTAAGCTGAGGGGCGGGTGCTGGGCACAACACATCCTGCAATCCTGGCTCTCCAGCCATCAGACTTCCTTTATAGTCCAAAGGTTTCCTTCCCACAGGAAACACTGTGCTCTTATGTCTCATATGAGTATGACACTGATGAAGAGTTGGGAGGCATAAATACCCTACAGATCCCAAGTCTGCAAGTCAGGAAAGAAGAAATGTTTACATTAAGCTAAAGATAACTAATGACAGATCACAGAGTCATCCCTCTGGATGTTTAAAAGGACAAACCACGTCAGGGGAAATAAACAGTGAATCTATCGCTTATCCCTCGATCAGAACACAAACTACAGCAGGCAGCATGACTCACACTGTCAGCTGCTGTTCCATTAAGAAGCAGATAGGCTCCTGAACATCCTAGTCCGCTGTACTACTAGATGCTCAGAACCAGGGTGGAAGGGGCAGATACATCCTTTTTTAAATTCACTAATATAAAATCATGATAGAACTTGGGATTTTGACAGCATTCCACGTCAGCACCTTTGGGGGCAGTATTTAGGATCCCAGAGTACTCCAGCAGTGCTGAAATTCTGCCCCCCCCAAATCCCACTGAGCATCCTGTATTACATGTCAGAAACTCACCTGTTCTGCACCACTTCCAGAATTATGGCAGTAACATCATATTTTTGTGGAAACAAATCCTGCAGAAACCTGGAGCCCTGAAGGAACTGCAGGTCCTTGCAGCTTCTCACGATTGATGTTTTCAAGAAATCAAATATCTGGAATACAAAATCATTGAGTGTGAGAACAACATCTTCGAAATGGGATTTATATATGATTGAGTAAGAGCATCGGACAAAGCACAAGTCCCAGTACAGACTACCAAAAATCTTAACTCATTTATTTCTGAGGACTGTTGCACCAGCCTCAGTTCCTCTAGGAAGGTAACTTGCTACCACACACCATGTGATTTTGAACTGTGGCCACCATAAAGCTCTTCTTATCCTACTATACCAGCTCACAAGAATTATGACTCTAGAAAACCCTGATATTGCTCCAGAGTCTCTTTTGCTATTCACTAAACTACAGTGCACCAATGATCGAACTGAATTTGTTCCTCCTCTTAAGTATCCTGGAGCGATTTTTCACCCAGATTCCGATGAGACTATGACCTGACCATTCTTCCTTTCCCCTTACAAGGAGCACTGTGTACATCCACATGGAAACTCCCAGTACCCATCACACACCTACCTGCTCTTGTAGTCTGTGTTTTACTGCCACTGACAGCAAAAGAGCCACACTGAAGGGACACAAGGCTGTACAAGGGTCCTTTTGTTGTTCAGTCTAGGGAAGAGCAAGAAATACTCAAAAAAACTTGTTAGTTTCAAATGCAGCATCCTACAGCTTCAAGGATGCACTATGCTGATAGCGCACTGCTGTTCTAGAGCAGAGATACACATTTCTTCAAACATATCACAGCACTTGCTAAAGTTAATATGAGTGTGACCATACAACTGATTAAAACCTTCCTATAGAAAAACAATTAGGTTGATTTTAAAAGCTCTGCTTCAAGCAGAGTGTTTGCCCCACCCTTGTCCTACCTTTAGATGTTTAATTAGTTCCTCGCCTAGATCCTGATCCAGATTGATTACAGAAACGATATGGAGAATAACTGTGCCTTCCACGTGGCGGAGCTGGTCTAGAGGCATTGTGGCTACTTCAAGGTCCTCTGATCTGTAAGATTTATCAGAAAATGAACAAACAACAACAACAAACCCACAACCCAACCCAAAAAACAAACACAGAACCATTCAACATCATAAGCCATCTCTGCAGTATCAAGAAGGACATACTTGTGCAGGTTTTACGGTTCACATTCAAGGAGCCTTGGGCAGAACATGGGTGATTTATAAATACACAGGTAGGATGACAGAAAAATAACTTACTGTGGAGCCCTCACTTCTTCCTTTTGTCTCTTATCCAGTTGATTGAAAAAACTGATGATTCCTTCTAAAACAGCCTTCTTACTGCCCTGCAAGGCAGGACATCACATTAAGACACTGCATATTCTGCAGATGTTGGAGAAATATTCCTACATCAATTGCAAATGCCATAGTACCCTTTATTTCCTTTCATAAATTGTTTTGGTGGGGCTGCTGTGTTGCTCATTTCCATATGAGGTGACTCTGGATTAATTTATATAATTCTCATGTTTGCAGTTATCAAAGAGTTGGAAGAAGCTGGATTTTAAACTCTTACTATGAAGCTTTTATTATTATTACTGCTAGTAATAATAAGAAAGGTTCCTTTATGCCATAATCAATTGAGAGGGCTTTCAAATTCCTAACCTTAAGCTGTTATATTTTGGGCAGTGCATCAAAATGACCTCTTATAATACAGGTAATTTATCTCTGACTGGATCACTTTTGTTTTGGCTCAGTCAAAAAACAAATCAAGAGCCGCATAACCCTGCTGAAGGACAACTACATCACTGGCAGCTTCTGCTTGCAGAAAGAGCACAAAAATGAGACAATTCCAAAGCCAGAATACAACCCAGAACTGTTACACTGCCTGAGCCAGTACTGAAGTAGAAGTGAGCAGATCCCCACAAGTGAGCAAATCAAACTCAAAGTGTATATTCCTCTCATGACACGTGTTTAAGGAAAGGCCATTTCTCCTGTGAGCTTTTACCTTTGCAGAAAGCAGCAGCAACTGATAGACCAGAGGAGGAATTTCCTGCAGGTCTAATTTGGAGAACATCCTCAGGACCTTTTCCACCACAAACTGCAGCTCCTCTGCTGTTAGTGGGACATCCCTGTAGATTCAAAGGTGTAGTTTAATTGTTTTCATGAATTTCCTCCAGAATCTATTTGCAGATTTAACTTTAACTAGACAAAGAGTCTTATAATCCAGGCAATTAGTAATCCCCCAAAATCCTCACCAAATCCAGCGGCCATACATCCCTCAATACGCTACCACTATCCTAGTAGCCCATTCCAGCCCTCAGTGCTTGCATCTCCCTCACATTCTGCTTGCCCATTAGTGCACTAGTTTACCAAGACATGGAAGAAAAACTAAAAATCCAGTCAGCTACACTAAAGGAGCAAAACCAGTTCAGTCATGCATTCATATGAACGCTGGCTGCTCCACAGGCCTAATCAAGAATACCAGCAACACTTTTACGAGCAGTAACTGAAGAATTTCAGGATTTTAGTGCTCTCAGTGTAGTCAGTCATTAAAAAAAGGAGATAAATAGCTGAAGCTCATACTAAAAGCCAGAGAATAGTCTTCCTTGGAAGCACTAATGCAAAGGGAGAAGTGACTTGTTTGTTTAAAAGAGAGAAGAAAAATCAGTATACAAAATAAAGTATGACAAAAGCCTTCTCCTAAGCAGCAGAACAGCCACTAAATAAGTTGTTTTCACAGGTAGGGAAAAATATTAGCCTTAGAGTTAATGTGTTTCCAGAGCACATCTGCCCTGCTGTGTTTTGCATCAAAACAGATCTGATCTGTTTGCTTGTCAGAAAAATCATCCACAAGACTCTACCTGGTAGGATACAGACCCCCCACTAATTAATCGCTTTCCACAAGCGGCACTTGAAACAGGACACGGAGGTGACTCCACCACAAGAAAGTGCCAATGCTGGCCAAAAAAGACTCTTACCTGAACATATTGGCAAGATGGATGGCACTCCGAGGATCCCACCTAGTAAAGCAAAAATACCTCAGAACACTGGAATAAGCAGAGTTGTTAGTGATCTCTGCCCTCTTCATGCACAGTTATTCAATTCCACCATTTCCTGATTAATTTCCTTTTGGAAAGTTCTACCAGAAATCACCACTGCTACCTGTAAAACACCCAGACTTAGAGCAGATCTGAACAAAACGCTTCCAATTCCAACAGAATCCATATCATAACCCAGGGAATTCTTTAAAAGGTCAAAAGGACTGACTAGGCACTGAGTGCTTTTTGAGCAAACTAAAGCACGAAAGAGATGTACATACTTGCTGGAGCACAGGGTATTTATCAGCTGTTTCTTAAATTCTTCCCCATTCAATTCACCTGGAAAAAAGCAAAAGTCTTATAGAAGCACATCAAGAGGAGGAGGAGGAGGACAGGACAGGGAGAAGAAGATCAGAGTTACCTTTCCCATAAGCCAGGCACTCCTTAGAACTAGCCAGTGCAGTAAGAATGGTGGAAAACAGCTCCAAGGATTTCCCATTGGACAGGCTGCCTCCTTTAATAACGTCCACAAAGAGGGTGGCGAGTTCAGCCAGGGCCTGGCCTGGCATCTGGCGAGCCTGGTGGGGGATGCAACAAAACAAGAGCCTGAGGCAGCACACAGGAGAATTCCGCACACGTCTCCAAGTGATCACCAAAACCCAGCAATGGGCAACATTTTACAGTGCAGTATTTACAAGATAACATGGGAATTTTCCACTGAGCTCTCTGTTTTATGATGTCCTTTACAGAACTGTGCAGGAGGTCAAGCTAATTATAGGTTCAGGGGAGTTGAGTTTACGTCTGAATATCCAATGATAATCACACATACACAGCAAATTCCAAAATGAACTTAGCACAGGGAGATTCATGGACAGGTCATAGCTCATTCTCCTCAGTGTTCAAACGCAGCGTCTCAGGCTACTGAGGATGCTCGGCAGACCCCAAGAACGGCAGCCCAAATGAGCTCCTACCTCCAGCATCAGCAGTCCTATGATTTCAGATGCCTTGGCCAAATGCAGATCTCTGGACTCCACTAGCGGGATACAGTGTTTGTAAACCATGAGCCTTCTGAGAACACCGCTTTCCTGGGAACACGGGGAGCCTTACGGTAAGAAAACAGAGACCATGAAGAAAAAATGGGGAAAGTTTGGTAAGTAACAACATCTCACCAAATAGCACAACATTATCACAAGGACTAATCTAATTGAAGGACTCATCTCGGCCACCCGGGAAGTGTGGCTTGGCCCCCACGCACCTCTGAAGATGCCCCTTAGCAGGGCCGCCATCTCCCTGCCCTTCAGGGCCTGCTTGGTCACCATGTCGCCCAGCTGCAAAGAGGGGAGAAGGCCGTGAGGCG